GACATCCCCACACAGGGAAAACTCACTTAAAGAACAACACACAATATCAATTCACAACTAGGGCTGTGCAAAAATTAATTGCGATTAATCGCATCCAAAATAAAAGTCTGTGTTTACATAATATATTTGTGTGTGCTGTATATAATTATTTTGTATATAAATACACACACATGCATGTATATATTTAAGAAAATGTGTTATTCATATATAAAATATTTATATTTATATAATATAGATTATGTATTTATTTATATATACAGAATTTAAGCGCAAATAATTCTTAAATATATACATGCATGCATAGGTATTTATATATACAAAATAATTATATACAGCACACACAAATATATTATGTAAACACAGACTTTTATTTTGGATGCGATTAATCGCAATTAATTTTTGCACAGCCCTATTCACAACATAAAGAAATCAGAGAAATGACTAAGAAAAATAACATAGTACGTCCTGGGACGTAACAAGATCAACATTCGATGAGTGGACCTAGGCGTGGTGATAATAACAAGCTAACTGAAACTAACTCTTCTTATCTGTAGGATCACATCAGTATTTGTGGCCACTGATGCAAAGAGAGATGCAAATGCTGCTGAATACATACACATTGTAAATTATATTAATATTTCACATTCACACAGTAAGATCTTACAGAGAATATATTTCAAATAGGCCTAAACATTTTCCATTCTGTACTGTATTTTGCAGTAAATGTTATGATTTGCAAAGTAAAATTGTGGAAGTTCTTCAAGATTTACAGAAACACACACTCACACTATTAAAACCTCAAGACATGCAAACACTGATGCACATTTACCACAAATGCCCAGTACGGACACGTTCTCACGCACATGCTCTTAACAGATTAAACCCCTTTTCTTTCCAGATCTGAAACTGAGGCCTTCTGTGGTTTTGAGTTTGTTGAATGCAATACTGTAAAATACACCAAAAAACATCTGTTTGCTGCTAATATATATATATATATATATATATATATATATATATATATATATAAATTAAACGTGTACTGTTGCAGATTTATGTATTAATCATTGACTTTTGATCTGAATGCATTGTGAATGTGCTGCTAAAACACTTAAAATGGCTGTTTAAAGTCAGCTAGGATTTCCTTAACATACACAGAGTAAAACTGAAAAATACCCTGCTTAAAATAAATACTTGTGAACAAATATCTGAGCCGTTACCGTGTGAGCTTTAACATCAGTCCCAGTTGGGCATCTTGTAAAGTTAGGTTATCAGGTTATCTATGTAACTTTGCACTCTCCCCCAAATTGTGTGTCTGTTACATGTGCATGAGTTTTGGGCTTGAGAATCCACATGAGGGTTTTAAGAGCTCAGAGGAAACTATAGACTAATCAGTAAACTTTATTTTGATGGTCCCTTTTGAACATACTGCGGACTATGAGCAACAACTACATGTCAACTACCTCTCATTAGAGTATAAGTAGACTGTCTACTTAATATCTGCCTACTCTATATTGTGATGCTCAGACAACTATGGAAGCTTGTTTCCGCCACTGAATAAAAAAAAATAAAAAATAATTGTGACTTTTTATCTCGCAATTCTGTAAAAATAAAAAGTCGCAATTGCGAGTTATAAAGTCAGAATTGGGTGATATAAAGTCGCAATTCTGACAAAAAAAGACAGAAGTGCGACTTTTTATTTCACAATTCTGACTTTTTTTCTCACAATTGCGAGTTTAAATCTTGCAATTCTGACTGCGTTTATATGTCGAAATTCTGACATCTTTTCTCAGAATGTTGAGATATAAACTCGCAATTGCGACTCATCAGGCCAATTTTAAGGGAGAAAAAAAAGACTAACTTTTTCCCCTCAGAATAGTTTAGATTACACAATTCTGACTTTATAGCCTGCATTTCTGACTTTGTAACACGCAATTGCGACTTTATATCTAAATTCTGACTTTATATCTCCCAATTCTGACTTTAATTCTCGCAAGTCATTAATTTAATTTAATTCTCATCATTTAATTCTCGCAATTCTGACTTTATATCTCGCAATTCTGACTCTATATCTCGCAATTCTGACTTTATATATCGCAATTCTGACTTTATATATCACAATTCTGACTTTATATATCGCAATTCTGACTTTATATATCACAATTCTGACTATCACGCAATTCTGACTATATCTCGCAATTCTGACTTTATATCTCGCAATTCTGACTTTATATCTCGCAATTCTGACTTTATATCTCGCAATTCTGACTTTATATCTCGCAATTCTGACTTTATATGTCACAATTCTGACTATCACGCAATTCTGACTTTCTCGCAATTCTGACTTTATATCTCGCAATTCTGACTTTATATATCGCAATTCTGACTTTATATATCACAATTCTGACTATCACGCAATTCTGACTTTATATCTCGCAATTCTGACTTTATATCTCGCAATTCTGACTTTATATTTCACAATTCTGACTTTATATCACGCAATTCTGAGATATAATGTCAAAATTGCGAGAATAAACTCGCAATTGTGAGGAAAAAAAGTCAGAATTGTGAGATAAAAAGTCACAATTACCTTTTATATTTTTCATTCTATGGCGGATACAAGCTTCCATAGACAACAGACAATCTACTGACTATAAGTAACTTTGCAACTACATGCCAACTTATTTTATCAAAACCCTACCAGTCTACTAATACTCTGCACCTACATCTCTACTAAGTCTCACTAGAGTGTTAGTAATGTTACTTATAGTCAACTGAATGTGTTAAAGGGACCATCCAAATAAAATATAACCGACTAATCTAAAGTAAATGTTCAAAGCAACTCAATTATAATTGAAACACGTAAACATGCATTATCACAATAAACAGAAAATGTAAAAAACAAAAAAAAAACTAAAATTACACACAACAACTAAAAACAAATTCAAGAAGAAAGAAAAAGTCAAATGAATGGTCAGAGTTTACATGTACTATAGTTGGTTTATTGCAGCGTTATGAAATGCGGTGTAAATGTCATGCTCTCAACCTGCGTACACAATGGCTGATATCAGATTTAACCAAACCCCTGTGTTACTTTAGTTATCTCTCACACACTTGCACTCTTCAGAACACAGTAAGAACGCGGCTAATGCTTTTGCATGGCCATAAGCTGCTACTAATACAACGCATTCTCTGAGCAATGCTTTCAAATTTTTAAAAAGTTTGGTTGCAATACCGCCTTTCTAGTGTGCATGAAAACCCTATTGATCACAAAAAGCATCACAAAGTTGTCAATATTAATAGTATTGTAAAATGAAAGGTTAATAAAAGAGCTAGAGGTGAAATGCAGAAAACAAGAGAAAGGGTTTTTAATAGTAGGCCTAAGCCTAAGTGCCATGGTTTATGGCAGTTTTCCATCGCTCATTTGCATCCTTGTTACTTGATTACTTCAGGCTTTTCCTGATTATTATTGGCAACATGCTTGAATGCTAAGTCTTTCTGGTAATTATTGTTCTTGCCCAGAACATAATCGTACAGTCAATCCAAACGGTATGCCTTTTTGATAATTTTCACAAATTTGAGATGTCAGAAAATGAGATTTGCAAATAAAAAAATATTTACAAATGTGTTTTATGTCGCAAACACAACTCTCCCTGGCATTTATTTGTGAACTGCTTTCTGATCCCCTCACGCATTTGTGGATTTTGAAACCCTTCTAGCGACGACGTGCAGACAATTCGACAAATAAGTGGACTCCTCCCACCGTTTCCTCAAGACAATCAGATAACAGCCACATTGAGCTGACCAATTGTAGAACGATCTCGCTACTACATATCAAGTTAGGCTTTACACTCGGGCGGTAACTGAATCTGATTAATTTTGCAGATATTTGTAGTTTGCAGCACCCTTGAAATGGAGCTATAATCATTCAAATTGAGCTGTTTGTGGTTAAAACACCCCGTTTTCAAAAGAAGGTGGAGTTTAAGGCTTCTTTGTATTTCCAATCTCAGGATCACACATTATGTAAAACTAACATGTTTGAACACATTTTGCCAATGACGTCTATTTTCTTACCTGTAGACATTAAGTGTTTATAATCTTCCTTATTGACTAGTGGTGGCTACATGAAATTCATAATTCGTGATCGGGGCTGCCCTAAGAGCAGTAAGTGGTTTTAAAGATTTGTTATACATAACAAATACTTGTGTCTGATTTGTCTCCATCGTTACAAGAAAGTATAAAAGCTTATGTATAAAAAAAATATAATAAAAGCTTACTAAATTTTCTCTCGTGCACCCCAGATTTGTACAGAGGCGTATTGCATTCACTTGAAGAAAAAAAAATCTACTCTGTTTTTCTGAATTAATGAGTTAATTTTTCATGAGAAAAAAAGTTTTTGCTCTGTTTTTCTGAGTTAATTTTTCATGGAATTTTTTTTGCTGTGTTTTTCTGAATTAATGAGTTAATTTTTCATGAGAAAAAAAGTTTTTGCTCTGTTTTTCTGAGTTAATTTTTCATGGAAATTTTTTTTTTTTTACTGTGTTTTTCTGAATTAATGAGTTAATTTTTCATGTGAAAAAAAATGTTTTGCTCTGTTTTTCTGAATTAACAAGTTAATTTTTCATGAGAAAAAAAATGTTTTGCTCTGTTTTTCTGAATTAACGAGTTAATTTTTCATGGATTTTTTTTGTGCTGTTTTTCTGAATTAACAAGTTAATTTTTCATGGATTTTTTTTTTCTCTGTTTTTCTGAATAAACTCGTTAATTCAGAAAAACAGAGCAAAAAAAATGTTCTCATGAAAAACTAACTCATTAATTCAGAAAAACAGAGCAATTTTTTTTTTCTCATGAAAAATTTACTCGTTAATTCAGAAAAACAGAGTAGATTTTTTTTCTTCAAGTGAATGCAATACGCCTCCGTAGATTTGCACTCTATGAGATGAAATTAAAGTTTTATTAAATTTGTCAGTGTGACTGTAAATACTGACCGGAGTGCAGAAAGTGATCTGCCAAATGATAGGATGGCCGAATATGATTTCCTTCCAAAAACAAAAGCTTTATTATTTTCTTTGAAATAACATAAAAACCTGCTATCCACATACAATTGACATGGAGTCCTGACAACTGTCTTTGTGTAGGAGGTTTGAAACATGAAAGCTGTTTTACCTGTCAATCATTTTGGATCCACAGGCCTTGGGGGCGGGGTTTTGGAGAGAGAGGGTGTGGCTGAAGATATGAGGTGTGGTCTAACTCAGTCTGCACAACTTGACTGTCTACAGGCTCTCTCAGGGTTTCAGACTGAAACTATTTCAGACCACTGAACTGTTGAAGAAAATGTATCACACATTTACTTTTTGCAGTTTCTGCTGTTGCTGTCTGGTTGGTAAGTGATTGAAAAGATGTGTTGTTTTTGTGGACCAAAACTTAAAATACAATATATGAAGATGTGTAAATTCAGGTATTTTGCATACTCCCATTTATTTTCCAGACTTCAATTTCTTTTTCTTTTGTTTTGCGATGTCAGTCTTTCTATTGTTCCATAGTCTGTAGTCACTTTAAAACATCTTTAAACTTTAAAAAAGCTTTATTAAACCAACTTAAATTAAAAGAGGAAACGGTTTGATCTTCAGGAGTGTTTGGTGGTGATGCAGTGAAGTCAGTGATGGAGGGAGAATCAGTCTCTCTAAACACTGATACTGAAATAAAGAATGATGATGTGATTCAGTGGAGGTGTGGAACTAACGGACCCCTATTAGCTCAAATCAATCGAGAGCTTGATGAGATCTACATATCTAGCGGCACTGAGAGATTCAGAGACAGACTGAAGTTGGATAATCAAACTGGATCTCTGACCATCATGAACAGCAAAATCACAGACTCTGGACTTTATGAAGTGACCATCAGAGGAAGCAAGACCACATTCAATGTTACTGTTTATGGTGAGTAGAGAATTACAGCTCACTCTATTTTATACACATTAGGGCTGTCAATCTATCTCTATAATACTATTCGAATTCTATTCCATATTTTATGTAATATTTGAATATTAAATGCTAAAATTCACCCTATTATTAATATTTACAACATTACACAATCTTATGGATCGCCACTGCCACTATACCCTGTGGATGTTGTTACACGCTCTGTCCACTAGAGGGACATCAAACATTACTACAATAAACAGTTACATCGTTTTATTATTAACAATAACAAAAGCGGAACAAACGCGCGTCCAATATTAACTACCAGCTATATACAGTTTGCTATATACATTTACACCAGCTATATACATTTGTGCAGCGGTGTTCCAAAGACTTTTGCGTCAACATACATGCCATTTTTAAGTTAAGTGGCGTGTTATCTATACGCATTTTGAGTCATTTCATTAGATCAGTCTGCAAAGGGAGAGAGAGCGTGCGGCACTCGCAAGGTCTCGTTCTCTCCCTCTCTGCCATGCACATTGCACGCGCCGCGCGTTATGTAGCTATGTTATGCGCTCCGAATGTATGTTCTATCTCGCTCTAGATTCCGGGAGATTTTAACTAATTTTCGGGCTATCAACATGCGAGACACTCCCGGAACTTCCGGGAGACTTAGGATGTTGAATGGGAAACCCTGATGATAGCCTACAGCTTGGATAACGTGCACAATTGCGTTCCGATTCAAAAGCTTTATTGTTCATTAGACGAAACAAAAGTATGTCATTTTCACATGCGTGTAAGCCGCGAGAAAGACAAGATTGCATATATATATATATATATATATATATATATATATATATATATATGAAGAGTTCAGATGCAAAAGCCTCTAAATGCCATTTGAAATTTTCTTCTTGAATGATGATTTTTATCAAACTTGTGTATTTAAGTTCAGTAATTTCACTTAAATAACAATTAATAGGTAATCATCATTGCCATTTAAAGGGTTAGTTCACCCAAAAATGAAAATTAAGTCATTAATTACTCACCCCCATGCTGTACCAACCCCGTAAGACCTTCGTTCATCTTCAGAACACAAATAAAGATATTTTTGATTGAATCTGAGAGCTAGATCAGTCCTAGATAGACTTCCTAAGGGACTGGCTCTTGACGGCCCATAAAGTCATTAAAGAAAATGTTTAAATATTCCATGTGCCTACAGCGGCTCAATTATAAGTTTATCAAGCGACGAGACTACTTTTTGTGCGAAAAAACATAAATAACGACTTTTCAACTATTCCATTACTTCCTTATGGGCGCATGCGCGAGAACTGAGACGAGGACGTTCTACTTCGACTACTTCTTGTTACCGGCTGCTCACCGCTTAGGAGTTTTACCGCCCCCTACCGTATAAGATGATGTGCTGATATAGCCGGAAGCGCAAAACTTTCTGTTTACAAGCAGAGGAAGATGCGCGCTGTACATACGCTTTTCAATTTGCGTATTTTCCGCACTACAAGGTGCACTTAAAAGCCTTTAATCTTCCAAAAAAACGACAGTGTTCCTTATAATCCGGAGCACCTTATATATGGATCATCATCTTATACGGTAGGGGGCGGTAAAACTCCTAAGCGGTGAGCAGCCGGTAACAAGAAGTAGACGAATGAGAACGTCCTCGTCTCAGTTCTCGCGCATGCGCCCATAAGGAAGTAATGGAATAGTGGAATAAAGTCGTTATTTATGTTTTTTTCGCACAAAAAAGTATTCTCGTCGCTTGATAAACTTATAATTGAGCCGCTGTAGGCACATGGAATATTTAAACCTTTTCTTTAATGACTTTATGGGCCGTCAAGAGCCAGTCCCTTAGGCAGTCTATGTAGGACTGATCTAGCTCTCAGATTCAATCAAAAATATCTTTATTTGTGTTCCGAAGATGAACGAAGGTCTTACGGGGTTGGAACAGCATGGGGGTGAGTAATTAATGACTTAATTTTCATTTTTGGGTGAACTAACCCTTTAAGTGAAATTACTGAACTTAAATATACAAGCTTGATAAAAATGATCATTCTAGAAAAAAATTTCAAATGGCACTTAGAGGCTTTTGCATCTGAACTCTTCATATATATACATATATATATACAGTATATATATATAAATGCAATATTCGAATAGTAACTTCAGCATTCGAATAGTATTGATTTTTTTTTTTTTTTTTTTAAATATTCGAATTATATTCGAATTTCGGAATTCGTTCCAACACCCCTAATACACACATTATATATCACAGAAGTGGCTCCAAGCCTCACAAAATTGACTGGAGAGTTTTGGTTTTCAACATCATTTTGATTCTAGGCAAAAAAATAATAATAATCAGAATTTAAATTAGTCAATGCTTTGGAGCATTGAAAGTAACCCATGCATTTTCTCTACTTTGTGTATGCCACTTGCAATGGCAATGCAAAGAAGTTGTTGGAAGTGTTGCTCAGTCAGCGGATGGGCCTGTGCATGCTCTTAATCAAGATTGTGGGTTCAATCTAAGATCTGCCCCTACATTCAAATGGTTCTTTGCATTGTGTAATTTACAGTAGGTCATGCATGGCCTCAGCTGGTTGAAGCCACATTGTTTTCATACTTCTTTCTATTCTTTTATGTTTTCCAGCTCGTCTGCCTGTTCCGGTTATTATCAGTGAATCCCCACAAAATTCATCACCATCCTCATCATCATGTATGTTGGTGTGTTCATCAATGGTGAATGTGAGTGATGCGACTCTCTCCTGGTACAAAGGAGTCAGTGTGTTGTCCAGCATCAGGGTGCGTGATCTCAACAGAAGCCTCTCTTTACATCTGGAGTGTGTGGATGACTCCTACAGCTGTGTGCTGAACAACTCCATCAGCAACCAGACCACACATCTCAACAACACTGAGCTCTGTCAGCCATGCTCAGGTATGTTCACTGGTGACACATATATGGCATGTATTTACTGAGGTGATCTATTCTCGTACAGTGTTCTGCTATATTTTTATTAGTAATGTATTTTTAATAGTTTTGTTAATGGATCTGGGTTTTGAGAAATTCTATTCTAAAATCCCTTTAAGCAACTTTACTACCTAATAGTTTGTAAAACTATAAAACTGTCTCTGTGCTCTGTTGAGGTTCCTTTCATTAATGGTGTTGTAATACATACATACATACAGTATAATAATCTGTTATTTACTTAGTTTGATTTTAATGGACTTTTAGTTTGTTTCTGTTAAGTATTTACCCAGCAAACACAGAATGTTCCCCTAACGTTCCCATATGGTTCCTATTTGTTTTGGGGTTTTTTTGGGAACCAAATAAGAACGTTCTGTGAACGTTCCCTGTAGGTTATTTTTAGGTTTAATTTTATAACCTAAGCAGAACGTTCCCAGAACCTAAAATTGTTTGCTGCGTAGTCAAATTTGTTCTAGGCCCTGTTTACACGGGAACGCTCGCGGGTGAAAACGTAAAAATATTTTATCGGATGTGCCTTTCGTTTACACGGCGACGGTGTTTTTGAGGCTTAAAAATGCAAAAAAGTGAAACCACCCTCCAGAGTGGAAATCTTAAAAACGCTCCACCGCCACGTTTCCGTGTAAACGGTAAAAACGCAAAAGTCTGCTTGACTGTGAAGGT